TGCACTCAAAATAAGGACAAAATTTATAATCAAAGAAATTGATGCATTGCAAAAAATAGCGTTCAAAATAAATAACAAGTGTACTCACTGATATCTCTCATAGAGTTCAGACATGCTATAACATATGAAAAACAAAATGAGTGGCATAAATGAGCAAGATTGACAAATGTCTGCCATATTAATGAATAGGTTTTCAAACACAGATTCGAAATAAATTAAATTTGTTTATATTTTGATAATTGGCCTCCTAAGACCTACATCAAAGTTATAAATTTTGTTTTTTAATTGACCTTGAAATCAGTTATCATCTGCTTTGTCGTGTGTCATTCGCAACTCGATTTTACCATTGCCAGACACCATCACTTTGGATTATTTTTCTAATCGAACTTATTCAAAGTTTAATTGGATGGATTGGTAGCGTGAACGTCCATTAAATATTTATCATTTTTGTGGTGTGTGTTTTATGTATACGTGCAATCTAACATATTTGAAATCAGTAGGATTATGTGACATTTTGCAAAATAAGTCGACGAACAAAAAGTCAAATGTCATGTGATTTTTCTCATCGTGAAACGAAATTTTCACATTAGATATATTTAGTTTTTAAATTTGAGATATTGATTTTAAGTAGGCCTTACCAATTTCTGAAGACAAACACATTTTCTTGATTTTACCTAATTTTATGAATAAGGTGAATGAGAGATTATTTGTTGAAAAAAGTTAGATAGACCTTTGATTCATTCCAAAACAAAAATGTGTTCTAAATATTAATTATTTATTTACATTTGTCCTTGTTTATAAATTTGAAAGATTTTTTTTAGTTCACTTTTGTAAAAAAAATTCATTTTAGCTTCTTATTTTTGTTTTACAAACATGTTCCACTCCGAAAGGATTCATTTTGTTTTAACGTCATATAGTATATGGATTTATACAGTTTTTAATCACGATAAAGGCATCGTGCTAGCAGATTTACAGAATTCCCGATAAAGCTTTGTCAGCCTCTGAAATTGTGCAGTCCGTTGAAAGAACGATACTAACCTCTAACGAATTTTTTAATTGATTTTCATCAATGTTCTGTGCTTTCTGGATCATTTTTTAAATAATTAAATGATTATAAGAGATGGCAAAAAATTAACATATATGAACTTAAAATAAAACTCAAGGAAACATATGATTTTGAGGAATCAAGATGCGCAGTCAGATTACAATTTAATATTTTCTTGTAGGAACCACAAATATATTTAAAATTCATTTTTGTACAACATAATCAAAAATTCCAAATCTTTTTCTAATACAAACGAAGAAAAAAATGTCAAGAATACTTACAGCACATCGAGCAGCTATAATAACTAAACTAAGTGTGAAAACTCCGAATTTCATTTTGATTTGCTCTTTTGAATTTTAAACAAACTACTTTTCAGGATATCATCAGTCTGATAATTTTGTCAATTATCAACATTTTGTCATTAATTAATATATTTTAAATAAAATCCAAAATAAGATAACTCCTACTAATTTATAAGAAAAGATCTACTTCATACTGTTTTTTCTTTACACGAATCGTAAAAGCTTTGCGGTAAAGATAAAAATTATTGTGTTAAGAGAGGTGAGCAATGCGTCAGAACCAAAGGCAAAAAAACAGATCCATTATTTTATGATGCCAGGTGTAAAAACGTGCACTTGCACCCTTGGTATATAATATAAAATCTTTGATGTACGATAAAGAGTGGACTTCAAATTAATTATCTTATCACTCAAATTACACTGTGTATAAATTAATACACACGAGCGCTCTTAATTTCATCTCCACGTTTAATTTTTTTAATAAACAACATTGATAATTAAAATTATTAAAAGAATCTGAGCAATGAAGATATTGTTGCCAAAGCACATTCCTTCTTTCATAGAGTCGTAGATATTTAAAAAAGATCGTTCGCACCGGTACATGTACATTGTACAACCCCAGATTATTTAGTTTTATTTTGGAATTCACCAGTTTATGTTCGAAAATATCAAAATTTTAATGCTGAACCACATTTACGTACTTTGTTTAACAAAAATGCCATTTTTGGTAATTTTGGTGACAATTTTTTTCAGAATGGTCTCTCTTGATTTATTATTCATGTTAAAAATGTGTATATTTTTCAAAATGCGATTGATATAAGTCATTTTCCATCAAATTAAAATAAAGCTTTTTTTTCAAATTGGATCAAAGATTTACATGCTTTTGCATTAGCTACATTAGAATCAGATAAGATCACTTCTGAATTAGTTTTAAAAGGTCAATCTATTAAGAGTGTTAAATGTTCGTTAAGAAAAGGATATAGGTATTTATAAAATAATAAATACGATTCATTTGCTAATAATTGCTTTGTTCTTTCTTTATTAATTTTGTTAGAGTTATTTGCTAGTTTACATATGTCATGTATTTTATTTCAGTGATGTGTCTGCCATTGAGCCCGATTGCAAGTATACATTTCTGAATTAATAGAAGTAGTTGCTGGTTATTGGTTTGCGAACTGGTCCCATTTTGAATGGATACAATTTGTCCATTTCCATTTTCATTGTGTAGATGTAGTCCATGTACTTTTCTTTGCCGAACAAAGCGTAGATGGTTTTGTACAATTTTTCTCTAACGGCATAGGCTTCTTTTATTTTGTATTGGGTCATGTAGTCGTAGAACTCTTTCACCAATTGTGGGTAGAGGCTCATGGCAGTCATCGAGTATGCTTCAAATCCTTCAGCCATGTATCCCAAGATTGATGAGCCCATAGCGATGATGTAGTGGTATTCTGGCATCTTTTCTTTCAAGTAAATAACTTGGTCGATGCGGTCATCAGCCCAGTATAAGCCGGCGAATGTTGGGACTTCTTTTTCCATCAATTGCATGAAGTAGTAGTAGTTGACTAAGAGAATACATATTTTTGTGTTAAAATTGTATAATTTACTTGGGTGAGCAAAGAACTTACTGTATTTGTAGACTCCAGTCATCAATGGAATGTGGTAGTAGAA